ACACATTTTATAAAAATGTTAAATGACCGATATGTTTATCAAAAACTATAAAAAAAAATAATAATAATAATAAATAAAGTTACACATTTATAATGTGCTCACAACCTTTAACAGTAAATTTTCGAAATGAAAATCTAAAGACAATAAATTAAGAAAATAGAAAGTATAACACTATTTGTGTAACACTTTTCACCTACCATACCTTGATAGGATATTTATTAATTTTGAAAAACAAACTACTTAATGCTCTAGTTTTCGAACATGCAACATATAGTTGACTATGAATAACACAATTTTTTTGAGATGTCTTTTGTCTATAAGTTTAATTTTGCATTATGTAATATTTAATATGGACGATCCCTAAAGTAAAATACTTGAAACTAAAAAGATTTTATTTATTGCAATATTTGAACAACCAAGAGACAACTATAGTTAAACAATTTTAAGAATTATATCTTTAAATAGCAAGCAACTCGTAAAATATATCTTATAAATGGTCATTATCAATTGTAGTATTAAAAAATGCACAAGAGCTCAGTATTTACATGAGTTTTATCAATTCTCCCTGTACTTACTCTCATTCAAGCCTCATCTAAGAGAAGGAGGAAGTGTTTTAAAAGCAGCATGTTAAAAAAAAAGTAAAAAAAAAATATGCAATAAAAAACAGTAACTGATTTTATTATGCTACCAATAAACCAAATTATTTTTACCTGAATTAAAAGTTAATTTCCAGCATTACCTAAGATTCAGCTTCTCTCTAACTGTTGAATAATGATTAATATAGTAAATTTCACATCATATTAAATTTACAAAAATAAAACCATGTTTCAACAGTAAGCAAAATAATCATGTGATGACAAAAGCAACTAAAAAAAAAAAGAACCAAATTAGGTTTGAGATAACAAAAAAAAAAAAAAAAATTAAAATCATTTAAATTTGAAACTGCTATTAATTGTTACTATAAATAGTAAAATTCATACCTTGCTTTATTCCAAAGTGTCTAATGTAAAATCAAATTAATAGACATCAACACCATTTGACACTTAATTCTGGCAAGTAAGTTTTCTGTTCAGCGAGCAGAAGTTCTTACATTTCAACGACAATTAATTTTATCAGGCCTAGATCTATCTCTTTCATTTGACAACAATTTTTTTCAAGTCGCCTATTACCATTAGAAACACTAAAAACATCTTCGAGCCTAATATGCATCTGTTATCATTAAACATATTACCAGTGATTATACTACTGTTACAAATGAAAAAATGAACTTAAAATAATTTTACGAATCGTGATCTTTTCTAATCAAAGACTATATTTTTAAATTAAGATTTATTGATATTCATATATTTTTATAAGTTTATATAAAGAAATCGTTCATTAAAAATATAAAACAACATTATTTTAAAATGCAAAGTTATTTTTACCTTCAGGCACAATCGAAATGCACAAAAATAATAAATGTAGAATTTTGTTTAAAAAAAGAAGCAATGTCAGTCTAAAGTAATATATTTATGTATGTATATATATTCAAATTAATTCTATTCTTTTTATTTTTTCTTTGAGATAATATTTATATAGATACAGAGAAATTAAAATATACTGAAATATAGGCACATTTATGTATATAAACTTACCTGACGAACAAATTACAGTCAGTTTTCCATGTTAAATACATAAAATATATATCTAATATAAAATAAAACAAAATATTAAACTTACTCAAATTAGTAACAGTTCGACTGTTCAAAAAGTTTTTTATTATTATTAATCCTTCTATTTCTAATTGCACTAAAAAATAAAACAAATCTTGTTTTGCTAAGTTGCCTAGTTCTTAGGAATCTGAAAACAAAAAAATAAAAAATCAAGAACAAACAAACATTTACTTATTAAAACTACTCTATTTAAACAAATTAAATTAAACAGAGAAGAATATTAATTCTCTTTGAAAGCTGAAAAACTTTTCAGCTCAAATTTACTTGCAGACCTTGCTTGTAAAACCACTTTAAGAAAAGCATTTAAAAAAGCCTAGGCATTGTCGAACAAATGAGTTTTTGTCCATCAAAATTTGAAATGTTGATTGCTCCAAGAAGCAGACCTGTAAAACATTTTAAAGGTCTTTGACCTGTAAAACATTTCAAAGATATTTCAAAAACAAATTATTAACCTTAAATATTTCTGGTTTCTTACAATATTATAAAAATTTACCCTACTCCAGTCTTCAATAGTCATATGCTGGTGTTTTCTAGCCCATTCTAGTCGCTTTTTATTCATGGCTTCAATTAAACGTGGTTTTTTGGTTAGACAATAACACACTAAATTCTCTTCAACCAACTGTCCCTGAACCGTCTTTTTGGAGAAGTTAATTCCTTTATTGTTTATAATTGTAGCTAGTTGAGCCACACTTGTTTTTCTGTTTTTAAGATAGATGTCTCTAATTTTACGGTCACAACATGAAGTAGTGATACTTTTCTGCCACTTTTGCTGACATGGTCTGGTTCTATAGTCACATTTGTATCGTTTTTTTTTTAAATTCGACTCACTACTGACTTCGAAACGCTTGCAATTGCTGCTATCTCTCTCTGAGAATGTGTAGAAAGAAGAAGAAGTTTTTACTTCTCTGCTTTTCTTGGGATTAACTCTGGAGACTTGCCTATACTAAAAAAATCAACGAGAGGTAAGAATGGTTACAAGTCAGGATTTATGCATTAAAATTAACAAAAATAATAAATAAGTAACTAAACTAATTGAACCATTAACGAATACTTAGGTTTCAATAGTTCTGAACTCAAAAAACTTTCAAAAAATTGTTCCAAAAAAAAAATAATTGAAATCAATTTTGAATTTTTGAACTTCAACTACACTTTTCAAAAATTGACATCTAGTTGAGTAATAACCTAACTTTTCGACAGTTCGGGTCACAAATTGCCACAGTTTAAAAACAACTATAGTTATATTAGTAACTAAAATACACTCAAAATTTTTTATTTAACAAAACAATATATTTGCTTTCAAAAGTCATTTAAACTTTAAAATTACTTAAAAAGTGAAGTGTCTCTAATAATTTAACAACCCACTGTATATGGTTTGTAAAAGAATTGGTCTCAACAAAAGGTTTTTAACAAAATGCTTTCTTGACCTTTGATTGTAGCCACTGCAGGGTGGCCACACTTTTTATCTGAAAAAGTTAGGATAATTAAGGATAATATAGGATATTTTTAAACGGTTTTAAGGCAATTTATCGGGAAATTTGAAAAAAAAAGGCTAAAATCTTAGGAGATTTTAGGAGGATTTCAAAAATAAAGTGGCACCAAAAAATTTTTATTATGTTTAAAAACTGTAAGAATGCCTAGCTAAAATAATTAAAATAAAATTAGGGCACTGTTATTTGACATCTCTCCACATACAAAAGTATTAACTAGAAACAAATCAATTTCATACTTGCATTAGAAATTTAACATTGCATTAAACAGATGACTAAACGACTAAATAACAAACAAAAAATAGTCAAAAATCATTAAAATAAACAGTTAAAGTAAACTTTATGTTTTATATTATCCAGACATAAAAAGAAATAATCAAATTAGAAAAATAAAACTATTGAAAAACTTAAACATCCAAATCTAAATCTCCACTTTCTTGTCAAGTACTTTTTTTGATGCTGTAACTTTCTCTAGTAAATCATGTTTTTCAGAGGCAACCCTCTTTAGCGCATTGATTTTATTTCTATCAATGTTTTCTGCTTTTTCGCTTGCAATGCATACTCATCTGCATCATATCTGTAATATCCGTGCTCGGCATAATACACACATGCCTCGTGTTATCATTATTACTTGAAATAAATATGGCGGTTTGCACGCTTTAAACTTTGTTGTATTTAGTTCTTAGTATAACATCATCCTCATAATATTACATGGTACCAGAAGTAAACCTGTGTTTTAAATAAAATGGAACAACTTAGACCATTAGAGGCCATGAATTTAAATGGCAATGTTTCAGAAAACTGGCGAAAATGGAAACAGAGATGGAATCTTTATAAAATAGCTTCAGGAGTCAATGACAAGAATGAAGATATCCAATGTGCCACCTTCCTTCATATGATTGGCGAGGACGCTTTAAGAGTATATGATACATTTGTTTTCACTATCGAAGAGAACGATAAATTAGCACCTTTAGTTCAAAAGTTTGAATGTTATTTCAGCCCCAAAAAAAACATAACTTATGAACGTTATTTATTCAATACATGTATGCAAGACAGCAGACTATTTACTGACTTCTTAATCGATTTACGAAATAAAGCTAAAACGTGCGAGTTTGGAACCCTCGAAGAAAGCCTAATACGTGACAGAGTAGTCTGTGGAATCAACTCTAAAGCTGCCAGAGAACGACTACTTAGAGACACTGAGTTTTTTTTAGAGAAAACAATCAGTTTCATGAGAGCATATGAAACATCAAAAACACAATTAAAAGCCCTTGAAAATACAATCCAGGCAGATTCTATAAATAAACATGGAAGCAGACTTAATTTCAACTCCCTAAAGATTGAAAGACCTTCACAAAAATCTTGCTACTACTGTGGATCACAACATACTACCTCGTTTTGCCCAGCATATGGCCTAAAGTGCACAGCATGTGGAAAACTAAACCATTTTGCTAAAGTATGCAGATCCAAAACTAAACGCTTTAATACTAATCGTGTAGACCAAGTTGATCAAAAGGAAGTTAACCTCAACGTTGCAGAGTTATATATTCATCATGTTGCAGCATCAATGGAATGTCCTGACGATTTAACAACAAATATTACAGTCAACAATAAAAATATAACATTTAAATTAGATACTGGAGCCCAATGTAACGTAATATCCGTGTTCGGCATAATACACACATGCCTCGTGTTATCATTATTACTTGAAATAAATATGGCGGTTTGCACGCTTTAAACTTTGTTGTATTTAGTTCTTAGTATAACATCATCCTCAGAATATTACAATATCTGAGCTGAAGTATGGTACTTTTCAGATTGTAAATTTGTTCATAATAACTAGTAACATTTTTATTAAAATTTTTCATTCAAATTGCCACTGACAAAAATAAGAAAAAAATAATGCTAGAAATTAGAACAAAAACTATCCTTTGAAAATAGAAAAACTTATGCACTCGGTATTAAAAACTTACTTTTTTAGCACATTATGGCAGTGTATAGTTGGAAAAAATAACAGAACACAATATTTTTCATGATAAACAGATAAAAAAATTAATAACATTTTTTTATATTATATTAAATACATTCATAGATAGATAAATAAATTAATAAAATGAATATGTGAAAAAACTAAATTTTGTGAATATGTAAAAGCATGTTATAGAAAATTTTCAAAATAAATGATGTTAAATATAGGGTCTTTCCTTGCCAAATGAATTGAAATTTTAATATTCCAACATGGACCCCATCAGATTTTTATGAAACTTGGTGGGTTGGTTTATATCAACGAGAAAAGCAATTCCTCAAAATTTCAGCTTAAAATCTTTTGTGGTTTATGAGATTTTAAATTTCTGATTTTTTCAAAAATTGAAACTTCATTAGGAAAAACTTGTTTTGTGCATACTTTGAAGCTCTGTATTTTAAAAAGGAAATTTCAGAAAACTTTCTAGTTATTTTTATTACATACAACTGTAGGCCTACTTTGTTAATACCTTGACATTGAATTTTTTAATGTCACGTTTTATCCATAATGGCTGGGTAAAAAACCTTAAAAATTGTTTGCAGATAAAAAAAAAGTTGATTTTTGATTGGTCACTAACTGATCATAACAATTCATCTGAGAAAATGTGTGATTGGTACAGACAAAATATTGAAGGAATACATTTTCAATACATTTCAGATGATGCAGTTTCATTACATTGCATAAATTTTAAATTAGAAGAACCTTATGCTTCTTGTTCAACAATTCCAGGAACAAGAAACCACCATTGTTTTATACCAAAATCATTAACAACTCTGAAGAAAATCAAGATATCCTTATAAAGTTCATGAAGTAGTCTATTTCCTCAAACACTTTTACTTGGCCACATAGAGAAGATATTTGCTGGGTTCCAATTACGGTTAACAAATTACATGTTCTATGCAAAATTTCATCTTAAAAAGTGCAATTAGCAACTGGTAAATGCTATGAACTATTATATCACCTTATGAAAAAACTGAAATACTACATTTGTACAATAGTATATATAATAACAAAATTAAATAACAACATAGCAAAATTGTTATTAATCTGATCAATCCAAATTTTTTGTTGAAGCAAATTTGAATGATTCAATTTTTATATTGATTTTTTATTAAATAATAATATGTAATATAATATGTAATATAATAAATAATAATATGTAATACATTTATTACATAATATATATATATTGCATAATAAACTTGTGTATTGTGATGACAAATCAAATAACTCTTATCACTTGGTGTAATCTGTAACATAAATTTAAACGATGATAATCAAATAAATTGGGAAGGGCAGAATAGCGAATGCTATGGAAAAATTATACAAAATTTATAGTCAGAATATAATATAGTAAGAAAATAAGTGATATCAAAACAAATATGAGTTGGGCAGATAATAAGAACAAAACAAAAAATCTTTATTTTCATTATTTACCTAATGCGCAACTTTTATATGTGCTCTAATTACTATTTACTAACTTTACAAATTAAAGTTAACTAAATGTCACAACTTTTATATGACACACTGCTTAAGGTAAAATGTTTATTAAATAATTAATAAAATTAATCAAGAAAAAAGTTTTTCTTATGATAAGAATGTTCTGTGAAAAAATATGCATGTTAAAAGTAAATGGACAGGGGGAGGGGAGGCAACTAAGGCTGTTCTAAAACTGAGTTTAATTCAGTCTTAGTTTATAGCTTATTTCTAGTAATGATTATGATATACTTTTATACATATATATTTTTTGCATTTCAGTAGAAAATGAAAACTAAAGTACATCAATATCTATATTTTTATCGTTTTTAATGTATTTTTTGCCAACTTCTCTGACTTTATCACTTCCCCATGAGTACCCACTAATTTTTTTTTCTGAAATCACTTTGATAAAGTCTGTTAAACCAGTAAAAAAAATTATTATGAAAATCAGTGTTGATCCTATTTTAAAATTTTACCCAGAGCCATTTATAGGAGCCCATTAGTTTTTACTGAATCATATGTTATCAGCAAACTTTTAAATATTAGGAAGCCTACCATATATAAAAACTAAAAAGAAATGTCTTTTCACTTCTTAAGTTGCTAATTTTGTATATTGACCCAACAAAAATCCACTTTTTATATCTGCAAACAATTTTTAAGGTTTTTTAGGCAGCCATTATGGATAAAACGTGACATTAAAAAATTCAATGTCAAGGTATTAACAAAGAAAGCCTACAGTTGTATGTAATAAAAAAAACTATAAGATTTTCTGAAATTTCCTTTTTAAAATACAGAACTTCAAAGTATGAACAAAACAAGTTTTTGCTAACAAAGTTTTAGTTTATGAAAAAATCAGAAATTTCAAAGAGTGATCATGAAACACAAAAGATTTTAAGCTGAAATTTTGAGGAATTGCTTCTCTCGTTGATATAAACCAACCCACCAAGTTTCATCAAAATGTGAAGGGGTCCATGTTGGATCCTGGTTCACTTGGCATGGAATGACCCTATTACCCATGTTAAATTTATATCATTAAACAAATATGACTTAAGTATACACAGTGTACACCATTGGCTAAACTGGAGGCTCAATGATTGTTTATATTTCATTTGTCACTCACAGGCATATATTGTTTATATTTTAATTTATTAACATATTTTTAATTTGTTTGTATATAGATCTGCAATAGACATATAGGTAATTATACATATATGAACTTGATTATTACACTAAAATACAAAAAGTTAGAAAAGAAAGTCACTTTTAAGTGAAAAAATGCGAACCTTTTTTTTTTTTTTTTAAAAAAAAGACCATTTTAGCCCTCTCCTTAGTGAGTGACAAAACCCGCCCCTGGTGAAAATATTGAAGTTTGTATGAAAAATATTACATATATTAAGAATAGTTAAGAACATACCAAGTACTTAACAAAAAAAACCATCAGTAGGAGTAGGCATTTAAATTTAAGGCCTTAAGTAATCTGGATCATGATACTAAATACAATTTACTAAATATACTAAACACAAGAAAGTTTATACATGTTTCAAACAATATTAAATCTAAAGTTCTTAAACAACAGCAATAAAAATAGCAATTAAGATTTACTACAACCTTATTGTTGTTGGTTTAAATAAATGGAAACATTAACATAAATGTTAAAATTTAATAAATGTTACTAAGACTAAACAAGTTAAATAACATGTTTGAAATAATAAACTAACTTTAAGATGTTTAAAACATGCAAACAAGAAATGAAAATTAATTTGGATAACTCTTTAATGTGTTTTTTTCTATCTACTGTTTAACTTTTACACAAAAAAGAAAAAAGAAATGCTAATGAAATGCTCTCTAGTAAAATGACCAATATGAGAACTTTTTGAAGGAAAGCAACTGAAAACATTCTTTCCCTAACTACTTTATTTCTTGATAAAGCATCTTTAATACAGTTTGAGAATTGCACTCTTCAAAATTTGGTATCCTAAGTAATCTAAAACAAAGTTTGTTTTAAAAAGAATTAGCATAAATTAATTGGTTATATTTTAAGTTGATGCATGTATGTCTTGAATAGTTAATATAGGTCTGACTTAAATCTCATTTCAATAATATAAATTAAACAAACAATGAAATAAAACCTTAAAACTTAGGAAATTTTAAATTTTCTTAAGTTTTATTTGAAAACTACAGTTAAATTTCTTGGTGAATAAGAAATTTAAATATAGCAAATAACTTTATTAAATATAGCAATTAACAAAAGGACAAAAATAAAAGGTTTAAACTTAAAATGGTAATATATTTTAAATTTTTATTTATAAAATTTTGATCGTAATGTATTGTGTGACAATAGTGTAGAAAAAGATTACGCATTAGGGATATAATACTTTAGGTAATAAAAATAACAATCGTTTGCAATATTTTAAAAGCCTGCATAGGGGGGATGTGATATTTTAAGCAAGAATTCTAGTTTCTTTTTGTGACATATACAGAAATAACAAGTGGTGGATGTTATATTCTACATACCAAATACTAATTGTTTAAAATACTTTATAAATTACTTAAGGGGATGTAATATTTTATAAGTATTCATAGGGGGGATGTGATATTTTAAATAAGAACTTCAGTTTCTTTTTGTGGTACATACAGAACTTACAAGTGATGGAGGTGATATTCTAGGTACCAAATAGCAATCGTTTGAAATATTGTATTACTAGAGGAATGTAATATTTTAAACGTATATATAGGAAGGATGTAATAATTTAAGTAAGAACTTCAGTTTCTTTTTGTGGTACATACAGAACTTACAAGTGATGGATGTGATATTCTAGGTACCAAATACCAATCGTTTGAAATATTGTATGAATTACTTAGGGGGATGTAATATTTTAGAAGTATACATAGGGAGGATGTGATATTTTAAGTAAGAATTTTAGTTTCTTTAGGTGATTCATACAGAACTTACAAGTGATGGATGTGATATTTTAGCTACCAAATACTAATTGTTTAAAATATTTTATCTTTTTGTGACATATACATATAATAATATTTTCTAGATACCAAATACTAATAGTTTGAAAAAAGTATGAATTACTTAGGGGGATGTAACATTTTAAGGATAAACATCGAGGGGATGTGATGTTATAAGCATTTAAGTTTCTTTTTGTGGTACATACAGAACTTACAAATGAAATATTGTAATATTGTAAAGAAGTACTTTGGGAGTTGAGGAGTGGAAAAGGATCCACTTTGTTTTCTCAATATTTAAGGTTAATTTATTGCATTTAAACCAGTTGGAAATTTGATTAAGT